TGAGCACATGCGAGCTCGAGTTAGCACAGGCGAGGTCGACGCACGCAGGCGAGGCCTGTCATTTTTCAACCTAAAGTTTCCCTATTTAAGGGAAACCCAGAGCTCGCTCTCCGTCTGCTTTTTCTCAAGGTTTTAAATATCGGATATCGGAAAAATATTGGATGGCCAAAATTCATATCGGATTATGGATATTGGGGAAATATCGGGGATATGTGGTAAATATCGGAATGCCACAATGAATGTTTGCATACATAGTATAATGCATTAAAATGTAATCTCAACATATGTAATGAAATTTAAGCATACAAAATATGAATAATATATGTTTAGGATCACTAATCAACCTTCTAAAACAAACAAAATGGCAAAGCAACGTTACAACATTCGATCTGCTTTTTTTAGGACAAAATATCATTTGATATAATAGGAAAATCTTGATATCTCGCCCAAAAATTCCAAACACGGTATATTATTTTACAACAAGCTATATAAAAAGATATATTGGTCTACATATTGACTAATATATCGACCATATCAGGGATTTATCACTCAAAATAGCCAAAAATGGGTAAAGGATATTTAAAAATCATATCGGTTGCGGCAAACCTTGTAAAAGGATATATCGGGGATATATCGGGCCATGTCGGGGATATTTAAAACAATGCTTTTTCTCCCTCTCGCTCTCTCTTCTCTCTCCTGGCGGCGGCGTTCTTGCTCCTCTCTCTCTCTCTCTCTCTCTCTCTTCTCTCTCTCTCTCTCTCTCTCTCTCTCTCTCTCTCATGCTCCTCTCTCTCTCTCTCTCTCTCTCTCTTCTCTCTCTCTCTCTCTCTCTCTCTCTCTCTCTCTCAGCAGTGAACTTTGGGGGAATTAAAGAGGGGGGAATTAAAAGAGGAGTTATTATTGTAGCTACGGTAACGAACTTTCATTTATTGAGAGATCTCAAACTGAGATCTACTCTAAGCTTTGTAATTTTTTTTGATAAATAAGAAATTAATTGTGTGGCTCCCGAGGACGTAGGCAAGTTTGTTGAACCTCATAAATCTTAGTGTATTTTTCTCTATACTGTGCTTTTTGCTGTTTTAGGGGTTTAGCATAGCCCTTGTTATTACCCAACAATCCGCTCATGCCATAAAAGAGTATATTCACTAGCATATATCTTGAAACATATATGTTACAAAACATAGAACATCCATTTGTAATTTATGTAAGTCCAAACAAATAATGCATAAAAATCTTGTCGTTGCCAAGACATCTGTCACAAACTGTTCCTCTACTATTACTCAAATGAAATCACCATCTTTAGAGAAACAAATGGAACTGAAAAGCGTTGAAAAAAAAGTAGCTACAGTAAAAAGGAAATTACCTAGTTCAATGATCTTATTCCTTGAAGAATTATTTAAAGAGTTCAAGGATACTTTTCCGGCATAGACCTTACTGCTCTTGTGGTATCCCTGAATAGATTAATAAGGTAAGCTAAGAAGTTGTCAGAGAAATATTTGGTTTCATGTCGTGGATCGATATAAAACTGTAGCTCACATTGTACTTCCTCATCTGAGCATCAATCTTTTTCAGTATATCATTTCTTGTGGAGATTGACCATGGGTCTACTATGGAAACTTGTTCTCGCCTCTCAATTCCAGTTCTGTCAATCTACAATAAATGCACAAGTATTAGCACATGATTCTTCTTTTGCTTGATTAAGGTATCCAATTATGTAACAAGCAAAAAAAAGTAACACATAAGTGTAAATAGATCCCATGCTTTTGTTTTTGAACAGCATGGGCATGGTAACACATAATATATAATACAGAAGCATAAAATTTATCGAACTTCTTGCGAAAGAATAGAATACTGTGTTTATATTTAGTTAAAAAAATCCCACTATCAATATACTGCAAAATGCATAATATTGAATTAAACTTCTAGCAATTTTCCGTGTTAATCAGTAAGTCTGAGAATGTCCATGGATAATTATGTTCAATATAATGCCAATGGAACATTAGGATCGTAATTGAAGGAGTGGCTAATATTAAGTTTGACCTAAACTACACAGTAAGGGAAAGACACAGTATTAACTAACTGACACTGGTTTAGCACATGAAAATACAAGATGGCCCTTACTATAGCTGAACGAAAACAATAGGGTTCATGTAGTAAACCCGAAAATATTTGGGTTGTTGCTGCAGTAGTTTTAAGTTCATAGTGTACAGAAGGTTCAAGACATTGGTAGGCAGTAGTATAGAGGTATGGTATTCTGAAGCTGAGTAATCAAGTAATGATAAACTTAGGAATAAATCAATCAATTTTGCCAAACTAGACCCACATTGCAAACTTGAACAGGCAAGTTAATGACTATATCTTGAAGCTGGAGGATCCCTGTTTCGTGCAAGTTTTTGATAAAATAGTTATTAAGTTGCTCTGTTATAATACATTATGATACATTCCCTTGATATTTGGCAGCCTTCTAAGTCATTAAACCTCGCATAGTATATCACATGTTCACAAGGTAGCAACCAATAATTGATAGTATAGCGTTAGTTCTCTAATACACGATTTACATGACTTGATTGCCAGTAGTTCAACAATCGTTCACTTTGATGTGTATAGAAGAGAGAATTCAATATTGACATAGTATAGAAATTATTCCTTTTAGGGTTTTGATTGGTAGAATATTGTGGTAGTCACAATATATTTATGCATTTAATAACTTCTTTGCATCTAATATTGATTTACAAAATCATATGCACATACTCAAAGTAGACTGGATTTTGATAGCATTGTTCCTCATACTTTTGACGTTCCAAATTCCCATGAGCGAAATGGATAGAAATTTGAACAACATAAAATGACATGAAACAAGTTGAGATTTACATGCCTTCGTTTCAGGAACAGGCTTCTGAGCAAGTTCTGACATTTGTTCCAGGAACAAAACATGCATTTTCTTCAGCCTATCCAGAGGTTCTGCTTTCCTATTACGAAAAAACTTCTCAATACAGTTAAAATTTACCTAATTGCTAACATATTAATACACCAAAAACCAAAGAAGAGATAAACCTGGATATCCCCAGCTCATAAACTTCATTAGCTTCCACCAAATTCCCTTTTGCAACAAGGAAAATGGCATATGCCTCGTAAAGAAGTGAATGCTTCTGACAAATTCTCTTCACTTCCATCATTCTGAAAACCCTTTTGAAATCTTGAATAGCATCTCCCTTTTTCCACAGAAAACAAATAGCAACGAGCACGCATTAGACACCAAAGTAAGGCTTAAAAATAAAGTTACAGAAGATAAGTATCAGCTTATCAAGTGTAAACAAATGACCGTCATGCTTCCTCAAAGCAAAAGAAATTTTAAACACACAATGTAGCACATTCCAGAATAACCACAGGTTTTATGTAATTAACCATTTATCCTGGATAACTAATCATGTTTGTTGCAACAACTAATATAAAAGCAACTAACCAGCTACTACTCTTCACTAAATACAAAAAATTTCAGCATTAGAGACATCAAATCCTAGGTTATATCAAGAATCACCACCTAGGGTTTTCAATTCTAGAAGAGGGACTTACATATAGGACCCAGATCTTGAGGAACCTGACATCGTTCTGGTACCAACGATCATCAGAGAACCTCTGAACGCAATCCTCCAAAAGGGCCTTGAGCTTTTGATCCGGCCCATCTGGGTTTCTCTCCAATTCGCCCAATTCACTGCTTATTGACCTGAAAATTGAACCAAAATCAACATAATCAAAAACCCATTTGAGAAATTGAAGTGGGTCAGTGAAATAGATCGCTTACTGTAAATAGGGGAGGATGGGATCGGAGATAGAATTGGGGGAGGGCTTGATTGGAGATGGCCTGAGACAAGAGAAAAAAAAAGGAGAGATTAGTGATTTGAGCGACGGGATAACAAATGAAGAAGGTAATAATTAATGAGACTTGAGATTTGTTACAGAGAGAGGGTTGTCGTGGGATAGAGGGATGATCGGCCCATTAAGAGTCGATGAAACGAGGAAGATGAGAGAGTGGAAATGTGAGTGAAGCAAAAGAGAGGGAAAGCCAAAAATTTTGAACCCCGATCTCAGGAGCCTGAAGGAGCACAACTGCGCATCGCCGCCGTTGGTTAGTATTTGGGCAAATAGGGATTCTTTTCATTTTAGATCCTAACTTATATCCTATTTCCATATTAGGCCCCTAATTTTATATTTGTAAATTACACCCTCAAAACTTCATATTTATTCAATGACGGGATGTTTGTTAAAACAAACAACTTAACGTATTAATGTATCCCAAGTGTAAATTACAAACATGAAGATTTGAGGGCCTAATACGAACATAGTATAGAATTTAGGGTCTTATGTGAGAAAATCATTTTTCTTTTGTTTTTTTTTTTCTCTTTTTTTTCCATTTCCATTTTCTAATTTGCATGTTTCCCTTGGTGTGTTGTATACGGTGAATTTCTGACATTGCTAGTTAAAAAAGATTGTTTTACTATATTGTTTGCTACGAGGTTGAATGCTGCAATCCATCCATAAAATATGATAGTGTTTGCTTTGCTCTCTTATTGAATTTAGTTTTGACAAATGGATATTCCACAAGATTTGAGCTGAAATATGATCAGAACTCATTTACAATTTTTTTTTTGTAGAATTTAGATATAAATTTATTAAGGTACAGATGAATTTAGCAAACGTTTCCGCAATTAGAAAGATGTATTTGAGAGAATCCATAAGGTTAGGATAATTGAAAGTTCTCAATTGGGAAGTGTCCTGTAATGAATTTAGCCAATTCTATATTTTCTCTGTAAATTCGAGCCATCTGGATCTAACAGTTTTATAGTGATAATTTACTCCTTTCCCTGTTCCTTAACAGTTAATACTATTGAAAACACAATTGTAGTCGATAGTTGCATGTTCAATTCCTACTTGTTTATCTCAAGAAGCATTTTGACTATATCCCAAATAAGAAAATAACCCAGTAACCGTGTACAAATTAAGGCACAGTTTCAGATGATTCCATTTAAACAAGCTTTTCCATCTCATGAGGTACAAAGAAAAAAAAACAAAAACAAAATGCACAACTCTCTACTTTGATGAAGATACAACACCGAAAGAAAAAAGCATGAAAAAAAAGAGAATTAATCTCCATCTGTCAATCATTTCCAGAGTTCCTCCATTGGAATACCGCGCTCACGAGCAACATCTCTAAACTGCCTCATCTTTTGCACAGCAACCAGAGTGGCTCTTGCATTGTTGAGGGCATTATCGCTTCCGAGTTGCTTCCCAAGAGCATTCTCCACACCTGCCATCTCCAAAACTATCCTGACTGCTCCCCCAGCAATAACACCGGTACCAGGTGAAGCAGGCCTCAGCATTACCTTCGCTGCTCCATAATCTCCATCAGCCCTGCCATTGTTTTGCAAAATTAATCAAAATAGAGTAAGTTAGCAAGAAACACATGTATCGCCACATGACAGCAAATTGGTCGATCTGTTAAAAAAATAGTTAATTGCAGATACACCCCCTTTACTCTGGTGGTGTAGTCCAGTAAACTATTTTAGTGGTACCCACAACTGCAAACGGCGTGAACCGCTACTTTTGGTACTCAATGTAGAGGGCAATGAAGTCTTTTTTCAGTTAAACTAAAAGCAAAAGATAACTTTTACTCACTTCCCACATGACATCCCAACCAAACTAGAGAAAAAATGTCATACAGAGATCAAGGATGTAAGTTTTAATAAAATAGTTCATGAGGTTCAAATGGCTATACTCTCATACTACCTGGGTGTATGCTACACAATTAGCTCTAGAAATGAATTTCTAAAATCGTGATAACTTGCCATGTATAAAAATGAACCAGTTGATCCAAGACACGGGCTAAAATCGTGATAACTTGCCATGTATGCATCTAGTTAGATGATCGGGCAGGCTTGAAAGGTAGGCAACATCCACCTTTATCTGTATATGATACACCTGGAAGAGTATACATCCAAAATCTCCTTTATAACATTGATTGATTTCATGCTTGTTATGACATCAAGTAACCTAAGTGTTAATTCTCCTCTTGTAGTCGACATGTGTCCCATGTCAGCATTAATCAATCACGCCAGCTCATCCTCAGCAGGGGCGACTCAGGTAGCCTGGACACTCGACCCCCCCTAAGCTAGGCCGAGTAGAGACCAGCTCCCACTCGACCTCATCAATCGAGTTGACCACCCTTATTCACTCAGAGCTAGGTCGACAATTTACATGACTAACTTCAAAGGTGAGACTTGCCGACCTACCTATCAAATCGAGCCACAAGCCTCCACACTCAGCTCACTATCTCAGCCGACAATTCTTGAGGCTGAGTAAAAAGGCGGTATTAGTCGGCCCTCCACCGAACGACTAAAGAGACGGTGTATCCTCGAACCCCCGCCAACAGCAAGTCATCATCACATTAAATGCGCGGTCAAAGATCATCATTACTCGTCCCAATAGTCTTCATGACTCATCAAGCTCCGTCAGCATAAAGCAACTGTTGTTGCTTTGCACTAACCACCTGGATGACTTATGCCACCCATAACCAACACTTGTCAGCCGTCTGCCGAGTCAGTTGTCTGCCTGGACTCGGCCACAGTTACATATTTACCCCCCTCAGCTGGGTATATATAGGGACTCATTACCTACTAACTAGAGAGGGAAGCCTCTAAGGGGGCCATAGGTATGCAACTTCTGCATATTCAGAACTATGTTCAGTTCATTGGTATCTTCTTCACTCAAGCTCAAACACTGACTTAATCATCGGAGGAACCACCGGCAGGGAACCGGTCTTCGAAAAGAGATGAGGGAACTCACATCACCCATATCAACCTCAAGCACCTTGCTAAACTCAGGATTACCCGCTAATCTTGTTGTTTGGTCTCAGGACATCAACAGTTTGGCACCCACCATGGGGTCGCTTCATCTATCTTTTACAAAAGAATGGGCAAGCCTTTATGCTCAAAGCTTATAGATACCCTCTTGCCAACAATGCCAATAGATAAACGGTGAACATGGTTGCGCAAAGTATGCCAGACAGTAAAAAGCTGTCATTCTGATAAGCTAAAACGCCAAGCTTACCACGAGCGTTTTGGGGACTACCTCTCCAAGATATGGTCGTCGTTATTCCTCTTATAAATAAGAGATATTTTTATGCCGCATACTAACTTATACACATCATTTCGTTGTTCGATCTCTATCGACTCTGTCCACTTCTGCCACTAATCCTGACATTATTCTCATGTCTACGTCCAGAGCACATATGGTACTCCCTAAGGTAACAAATTAAAGACATTATCTTTAAAATAAGATATTCTTTGTGCCATGTACCTATCTGCAGACGCCGGCTTCGACTCAAAAGGCCTTGACACCTACTCAGGATAAGACCAATGCGCAATCGACAAAAAATATTGGTATCATTTTTAAGAATAAAATCAAGGCGTGTCACCGACCAAAAGACCTTGGCACCTACTCAGGATAAGACCAAGAAGCGCCATCGATAAAGGCCCTTGGTACCCTCTCGGGGTAAAACCAAGGCACGCCTCTACTCGGTCGGCTTCTACTCAAAAGAACTTGACATCATTTTCATGAGCAAGACTAAGGCACATCATCAACTCGATCGACTCTAATACCAAGACCTTGGCATCTTCCTGAGCCCGGTGCATATACCCCAAGATCTTGGTGTCATCACGAATAAACCCAATGCACGAGGTCGAGTAGCACTACTCCCCACACACGGAGCCAAGTCGTCTAGACCCGAAGGACCGACTGATACTCAAAAAGTACACGGTTCAAATTAATAAAAATAAAAATAATTCTATCTGAAAATGTCTACAGCGTAGAAAGTGCTGGACAACAAACACCAAGACCTTGGTGCCTACTCAGCGTAAAACCAAGGCATATCGACTCGGCCTACATCAACTAAAAGACCTTAGCATCTTCCTAAGCCCAATGCACGTACCCTAAGACCTTGGTATTATTGCGAGTAAATCCAAGGCACTAATCCTAGTCATCTCAACCCAAAAAATCGATGGATACTCAAAGGTACACGGTTTAAATTAATAGACAAATATTTGCGCCTAAAATGTTTGCCACAAGTCTTTGGCATGTTCATAAGACCAATGCACGAATTTTAGAGCCTTGTGATCATATTCAACAACAAGGTATGAGATCGAGTCGCCCCATTCGCCGTAATAGCAACTCGTCTACTTCCCACATAAGTGCACCTCGTGACCCGCCCAGCTACAGTCCTATTTCACTCGGACTCGGGGTAGCAAACTGGGTCAATGTTATGATATCAAGTAACACAAGTGTTAATTCTCCTCTTGGAGTTCGACATGTGTCCCGTGTCAACATTAATCAATCACGCCAGCTCACTCTCGCCAGGGGCGACTCAATAGCCTAGACACTTGACCCTCCTTGAGCTAGGCCGAGTCGAGACCAACTCTCACTCGACCTCATCAATCAAGTCAACCACCCTCATTCACTCAGAGCTGGGTCGACAACTTACATGAGCGACTCGAAAGGTGGTACTTGCCGACCTACCTATCAGATCAAGCCATAAGCATCCACACTCGGCCCACTATCTCAGCCGACAATTCTCGAGATCGAGTAAAAAGGCACTATTAGTCGCCCCTCCACCGGACGACTAGAGAGGCGGTGTATTCTCTAACCCACGCCAACAGCTAGTCACCATCACATTGAATGGATTGTCAAATATCATCATTGCTCTAATCCCAAAGGTCTTCATGACTTGTCAGGCTCCATCAGCACCAAGCAGTTATTGTCGCTTTGCACTAAATACCTGGATGACGCATGTCACCTACAGCCGACACTTGTCAGCTATCTGCCGAGTCAGCTACCTGTCTGAACTCGGTCACAGTTACATATTTACCCCTCTCAGGTAGGCATATACAGGGGCTCATTACCTACTAACTAGAGGGAAAGCCCCCGGAGGGGCCATAGGTATGCAACTTCTGCATACTTAGAACTATTTTCAGCTCATTGGTATCTTCTTCACTCAAGCTCAAATACTAATTTGACCGTTGGAGGAACCACACAGAGAACCCAACTCTGGTCCTCTAATGAGTATTATTGCGCAGCTCTCTTATACAGACAGAGGACCGGTCTTTCAAAAGAGATGAGGAAACCCACATCACTCATATCTACCTTAAGCCCCCTTGCTAAACTCGGGATTACCCGCTAATCTTGCTGCTAAGTCTCAGGACATCAACAATGTTGTTTACCAACTTTTGTCCAAGGAGGTATATCTTTTCTTAGGTTTCTAGAAGCCTTGGATAAGAATTTTTCGAAAACATCCCATACTGTCCTACCTCAACTACTGGATTCAGATACCATTTTCCACTTATTTCCTGAAGTCGCTACTAGCTGTTTACCTTCAAATTTTACTAGTAATGCTCAAACAAGCTGCTTTTACAGCATAAAATGCTATTATCTATACAAGGATTCCTTTCATAGAGATCCGACATAATATTTGTCCTAGATTTATACCCAATGGAATGTCCCTTCTTTATTATGTCTTGTGACAGAAGTGATAGAAAAATACATTAAGCAAATTGGCCAAGTAATGTTGCTTCCACTTGTAAGGTTGTATAAACATTGACACTAACGAAATCGCTAATAATTCATCGCAGCAAAAGTTCAAAGTAGTGATGAAGGTGGAGGAAAAATATTTCGCTAACCCAAAGAGGTGAGGAAATATTTTGGACATCTAACAGTGACTACATCAAAATAATGACTAGTTGGCTATCTAAATACCAGGGTATATCCATGAACCTACCTACAGCATGAAATGATAATTTTGTGCGAGGGTGTGCATCAATTAGAGATCCGTTTAAAAGGAATAATTCATCAGTTTGAAAGATGGGCTAGTTTTCCAAGCCATTTCATGTTTATGTTCTGATAAATTCCTTAAGAGTCTACTTCTCGTTTTTGTTGCGTGCGTCTCTAGAAGATTCACTGCGAAGGTGGTACTCAAAGGTCATTGATAACATGTCAACTACTTGATGTAACCTAGCAAATTACCCTAAGAATTCAGCTAAGTTAGAATTGTAACCCTTCTCAATCTGAATTAAGAACTGATATTGCTTAAAGGAATGAGAAAGAACTTGCAGTTGTCCAAAGTAACAATCCAGCAATCAGTATCACCTTTATCACCACTGCAATTCAAACTCTCAAACACATTGCAATGGGCTCATCTGCAGAGCATAGAACTACATGGAGATAGCTCCTACAGCTATCATTCATATTTTGCATAACGATTGGCGCTGAAACTAATGTCAAGCCCTCTAGCATCAGATCACAGCACTTACATTATGCAGATAAAAGCACAACTTTCTCTTTCTTACTATCTCCTGCGTTAAGCTAAGCACAATCATAGCTTTCTTAGGCCTGTATCTAGTCCTTCTTGCTCCATTAATTATGATATTTTCATCTCTCCTAATTGGTGCATTATGTAGCTTCTGTTTCACGTGGCCAATCCATCTCCCTCTCATTTGATTTGTCCTTAACAGGAACAATATCTACCTCCTATGAATGCACTCATTTCTTATATTACGTCTCGGTGTCTATATACTAGTTCTCATGTTTGCTACACTTATTTCTGCACATGTTGTTTCTTAACGACCCAACATCCTGATCCATAATTCTTAGACAGACATTTTGAGCCATAAAGCAGCTGGTCTTAAGGTTGTCCTATAAAAAATTTCACCTCAAATTCTTAGACACTCCCTCTATTTTAACCATCCAGATCTGGCTCAATCACCATATCATCCTAGCTAAACAAATACAACGGAGTGCAATCGATATTCATATACACATATATAATCACATTCTAACTTGATAAGATTGAAATGCGCCTTCAACATAAACCCACTAAAAAGATCACATTTCAACCAATTTCCCCAATTCTTGCTTCTTCGCATTGCCTTCTAGATGACCAAAACAACCGTATTCGACTTCACATGTTTGTTTGTTTTTTCTTCTTGTTTTCTCCTCAGAATTCTACGCCAAAACCAACCATTTACCTGTGCGGGAAAGTCAAGTACTTAGTCATGGGCACGGCAATGATATTCCTCCTCGCATTCGCCGCCGACTTGGCGATCGCATCAACAATCTCCTTGGCCTTCCCGACCCCAACACCGACCCTCCCCTTCTTATCCCCAACAACGACCACCGCCCTAAAACTCATGTTCTTCCCTCCCTTCACCACTTTCGTCACCCTCCTCACCTGAACCACCCTCTCATCGAACCCGTCGTTGGCCTTCTCCCTCTTCTTCCTCCCGAGCCCGCTCCCGCTGCTCTTCTTCACCTTGGAATCCATGACGTAGACATCGTTGCCGAGGACGCTGAATCCGCTGTAGGCGGGGCCGTAGATTTCCTCGTAGGCGGCGGCGATCTCGTCCTCGGACTCGGGAGGGAGCTCGTCGAAGGAGGGAGGAGGGGTGTAGCCCTCGGGAGGGGATGGGGGGTGCGAAGGGATGCTACTTGGTTGGGGTCCCCGTTGTCGAAGAGGAGGTGTCGACGTCGGAGGTTGGGCGCGGGTGGGGTTGAGGGTGAGGGAGGGGAGGGGTTTGGGTTTCAGGGTAAGGGAGGGAGGGCAAGGGAAGGACGAGGAGGAGAGAGGGGAGGGGAGGGAGAGGTAGAGGGGAGGAGAAGGAGGAGAGGGAGGAGAGTGAGGCCATGGGGAGGTGGGGTTTGAAGGTGAATGTGGAGGGGGGGGGGGGGGGGGCGCTTTATGCTCGGCTATCTTTGCGGTTTTCGGGAAGGCGGGCCGGTTGAGTTTTTGCATATATTCACCTATATTATTTGCAAATTTATCCTCCAAGCCCTCAAATTTTAAAATTATTAGATTTTTAATGATAAAAAAGACTCAATGGTCCATAGGCACCCCGGGTAATCGCTCTTTTTAAGAAACTTAAACTTCAAAAAGCTTATTTCATTGGAAAATTTCCCTACTCAGTTGCAAATGACGAGCTCAGCAAACATTGGATTACGGGAAAATATTGCAAGCTAACAACCTTATACTCACCGGATGATTTAGGCAAGTTAAAGGCCTGTAATATGCTCTGGCATTTCGAATATAAAAAATACTTGAGCCGATTCTTCAAAAAATCCTAAGGGGGTGATAGTCAATTTGGACATTTTCATGCAAAATAGGATAATTGTTAAAATGGAATAATTTTTCGCTAGTGGTATATTTTAGTGGGATAAATAGGAACAGTTTTATGAAGCGGAATATTTTGATAAAATAACATGGGATAAATTTTTATAATCATGAAATATATATTTATGCAATTTAAAAATACAAATACTATTTATGTATTTTAAACTTACTATTATTGATTGATAATTGCTTACAAAAATGTTCTTTACTATTAAATAATTTTTGGTTAGACTATAAGATATTAACAATTATTATTATAATGATGATCTAATGATGGTGATAATCATAATAGGAAAGAAGTAAAGAAAAATTATAAAAAATAAATAATAAATAATAACAAAATAAATATGAGTTCTAGTTTTTTATTACCTAATTCCAAGCTAAAACTTGGAATAATTTGAGAATCTAGAACTCTCATTTTTTTATAGAAAATTTTAAAAAAATAAGATAATTTTGTATTATTATCCCAATTCTAGTTTTGTTTGAGTTCTACTTAACTAACACTATAAAATTTTGTTCTAGTTTTAATTCTATGTGACTTACACCTTAAAAATTTATCCCACAGATTATCCCAATTCCAATTTTAAATTCTAGGTGACTAAATAACAACTGATTTAATATAGCCCACTGAATTGTCATAATTCATTACTGAAGCATCATATCATAAAACAGTCAAATATGATGATTCAGTGGACGGTACATATAAATTTCCAGGGTAAAAATAAATCACTTCATGTTTTAAAATCCATCATTACAGACATTTTGCAAAAAGAAAATGTAAGAATCACTTGTGTGTACAATTTCTATGCTTGCTGAATATTCTTTTGGGTACAATTTGGATGCTTTGATAAGAATCGCTCTTTTTTGTTACAATTTCTACGCTTGTCTTGTATTAAAAGCCTGAACATGTACTCCATAAGAATGTTTATTTCTTCTTACTGGCTCTGCTCGTTTCAGTATCATCTTCTTCTGGCCTGCTAAAATCAAAGAGTGAAAGATCTCGATCATCAAAACTCAGCAACCTTCGATATTGTGTATGGTTGCAGTTATAGAAGTCCATCAAGTTGTGATCAACACCAAAACCATCAGTCCATGAATCACCAGAACCATGATCCCAAGAATCCCATGGTTTCACAATTGGCTCTGTTGCATGATCACCAACAGGGGCGATATCAGCTGAGGAACTTGCAGGATCACTAGCAACGGTGATATTCCCTGGAGAACTTGCTGAATAGTCATAGCTTTGAACAGCTGTTTGACTATTATCTCTTCCATCCTCTTCTTCATCCGTAGCAATAAGTTCCAAGGGGAATGGAGGCCTTTCAGTTTTTCTGGCACAAACAAACTGCTTCATCACAAGAAAGGAGAACAAAGAGTCAAAGCAAAAACAAGGAACACAAAATTGTCAATTTGTACTACAGTGAACGAGGCGAATGTAAATTATGTAACAAATATGGGAGTAGTTAGAGTTCTTATTATCTCCTAAAACTACTGTCCTGCAGTTATTCTGAGTTTGGGCAAAATGCTTCTTCTAGGACTACTTGCAAGCAATGTCCTAATATGCACTGCTTGTAAGTCAAATAATAGGAAAATAATTCCTCTAGGGACTACTTCCAACTAATGTGAAATGCCCTGTGTAAACTAACAAATGGCTATATCTCTCCAAATCTACTGATAAGAAGCAATGTGACAAATGGAGGTGAAAAGGACCAGAAAAGCTTAAGCTCACAATCTGCTTATTTTTTGTTTCAGTTAACAAGCTTATAAGTTTGATCCATATACGCAAGCCCTTGATGTTATGAAATATAAGATTGTTTGATTCATGTGTTTATCCTAAATCATTGATTTATAATGATTTTTACAAAAGTTAAAGCTAATACATTTGTAAATGATAATGTCATGAATTCTTTCATTTGCACGCAATAGATTTTATTAGGTTATGAATGACTAAAATAAGAAAGGAAGCATACAACTTACATTTTTCTTTCTGTTGTCCTGATATATAGCAATGAAGTCCCCAGGCTTCAGATTATTCTTTCTAATGAAATCACCTGGACATATGCGAACCATGTATTTGAATAACAGAATAGTGAGAAACTTTCCATTAGCCCCCATATCTTCTTAAACATTTCTTTTTATGAATATGTGCACATATCTCCCTAACTAATAGAACTCTGATGTTAATTATTGATATGCACCCTACCCTTAATTAATCTTAAACAAGTAATCTTGTTTCATTCCTACCAAGTATAATATTTCAAACAGAAGTAGGGTTGGACTTCTAAACAAAAAGAAACCAGAGCAAGTAAGTGCATAGGGGGAGAAAAGCAATGTTGAACTACTGGGTTATTTATGTTTGGGTATAGCGCCACTGCAGAAAAGCAAACGGACGATTATTTTGTCAAGTATGAAGAAGTTGAGGCCCAATTCTCTTATCATAAGCTTTTTTCTAAACCATTAGACAACCACAAATATTTTTCAAATATTACATGTGCAAGCTGCTCAAAGAAACTACTTTTCCCAACAGTTAATATGTTAACGTTTGCTTCATGTTACCTGTGTTTTCGAGGACATAGATCTTGCTATATTTGTTTGGCCAATATCTGCAATAAAGAAAAGGTGAATGAATAACAGAACACAACTAGAAATCTAGTAGAAAGTAAAAACTGAAAATGTAAAGGATGAAACAAATGGAGAAACCTGTATCTCATTGTCCACTTTTCACAAGATAAGGCATCCCTAACAGTAAGACTGATGCCCCACTTATCTTCCAAAATTGGAAGCTCGGCCTCTGCCTGCTTCTGTTGCTTGTTATAAAATGTCGGTATTAGATGATGATATTAAGTATAACTGAAGATTATAACCTTTACTTCTTTAACGTTTTTTAGAAGAAACAAGGCGAAGAAACCAGGATAAAATCAAATTTCAATTGGAAGGATAGAATTAAGAAAGAAGAGACCAATTTGACAAAACCTTGGGCAGAAGGATCCTCCCCACTGAGCTGACATCGCTTTTTGTCAACTGCTTCTCAAGCACAAACTTCAGTTTCTGCCCATCACAATCTCCCTTTAACCAGAATGTGCGCATGAAAAAAAACTAATGAAAGAGATGGTGGGGAAAAAAACTCACTGTGTTCTTACGAGAAACAGAGGGTGAGGGGGTGGATGCAGTAGCAAACATAGAATAAGTCGGAAAGTTCATTTCCCAACCAATCCTTTTGTTGCTCCCCATCCCATCCCTTTCTACCTGTGTTGTTTCCAGATCCCTCTTCCTCAGTTCCCTCAAACAGCCATCGACATCAAGTTTAAGATTGAAAAAACTCGTTTCTTCTGTTGACAGCACATTGTTTTGGGAAAACACAGGAGCAAGAAAATTAGTAGTAGGCTGAGGAACTGAAGGGGGCACTGAAAAGTTCGGTAAAAAGTTGGAGTTCGGGCTGGTACTGGCATCCATTGCAAATGAGGCAGTGGCTGATGTGGTAGAAGCAACAAAATCAAGAATTGAGTGCTAGAATTCTGAGTGAGTGAGGAGGGTTTCAAGGAGGGAGTATAAGAAGGGACAGACAGCCAATGAGAGGTTGCCATTTTTCAGAGAGATTCATGAGAGAGAGAGAGAGAGCACAGAGAAGAGAGTATAACAAAGATTTCTTTGCGTTGAATTGTATTGAGGAGTGAATCTTAACCATATCTTGCATTAATTATAACATGGACAAAGAAAAGGATTCAGAGATTTATCCACTCTGGTTCATCGATGAGAAGAGAGTGGGTTATTTTGTGGGCGCCATCTCGGTGCAGTTCAATTTGACTTTTGCAAACAGAACTCCACGTAACTTCTGGTTCAGACTTTGGGAAATTCAGCTGATTTGTTGATACAACATAGGCTATTTAGACCTCAATCTAAGTGGGGTCACTGGTCAAAGTCAGAACAAGGTTGCACATGTATTACACCCATACACTGACCCAAGAAATTTTAAAGCCTCCTTGTCTAACCCCCTCCCAAACCCCAAGAAGTCTTTTCACACTTTCAGTATCATATATCTTTAAGCATTTTCTATGATCAGTAATAATATGTTAAATCATGGTAGTAGATATGTAGATATTATCTGTATAGGGCACAAAAACTAGTTGCAAGTGATTTTATTTTATAATCTCTATTATTAAGATGACACATAATATTCTTTAAATAACCTTCAGTCCTACGGATGTATTCTAAGAACGTCAACTGGAAAAAAGAAGATGCTTCCAGCAACACCAAGCAAATAATCAATTCCTTATAAGTTAAGCTTTTGAAATATTAAATGATTGCGTTTATGGTATGGGAAGAAAATCCAATACAATGTACTTATTACATGCCTAAGTGAAATGTAAGAACATGCTGATACCTCTTCATATAATTGTAATATCAACATTTCATTAATGTAAAATTAAGGATATAAAACTACCGAATAAGTTGAGGGAACATTATAAATAAAAGAACATTGACCTCATACACCACTACTCATAGACTAAAATCAGAATTTTTACCACAAAAAGGCATGTGGAAATAGAATTAGACTTGTAGCAAGACTTCAAGGTACATAACATTACAAGAATAATACATAGCATGCTAAGAATAAGAATTTTACTAAGTTACTGCGACACCTCGTCTGGGCTTCCACCTATGTTCAGACTCCAAGACTCCCTGAATATGCATATATTTAATCAGATGTGTACTCAACCATATGTTATATGTTTTAGTTTAAACACTCGTCGTACACTACTTAGACGTATATCTTACACTTCATGCCCACTTCGTGCAACTCGTTGGATATGGTCATGTTTGTTTCAGCCTGCTCCCAGTTCAGAAGTATGAATATAAATGGTCATCTAGATCTTATTCAAAAATGAGTAGTTTTCCAATTTATAATCTACTTATTAAATGAAATATAAAAATATTGTGGAATTTTAGTTTTTATAATATGTGAATGAAAAAATAAAATCGATCTCATATAAATTATTCATTTCAATATGTATATATCTAGTCGTATCCTCATATCTAACCTTCTACAAATTTGGCGTAACCTCCACCTGCACCCGCACTAGCACCTATATCAGTGTAATTTAGGAATTTTAAGACTTGTATCAATCCATTTGAAAAAAAAAATCATATTGTCCCCAAATTCTATTGAAGCAAAAACTAGAGAATTGAGGGAAATTTGAGAATGCATTGTTTTTCTAATTGTCATGGAGTGAATAGCTTCAAATACAAGAACGATATTTTAACATTTAGGAAACATTTACATGGATAACTTTAAAGTACGTTTTAGAAAATTACACATGATTTTTCTGAGTATGTATTAACCATACTTGGGAACCAATCTATCATACGATTAAAATGTTTTGTCGCCTTCGAAACAGATATATATTCATCTTGAAAAATTAGTGCACTAATCTATAGTTTGTTTAGGTCTTTAATAATTTCCCTGTTTGAATTTCAATGTCATCATAACCCTATTGTTAGAGCATACTCTAGCTTATTTGGCATAAAACACAACCTTCTTTAATTTAATATTCCTACAATTTGTACTGTTTTTGTAAATAAGACAATGTTTATTACTTACATTTAAGATGATCAATCAGATTCTCCCACATGACATGACTTTCTTTTATTATTGCTAGTATAATGCATGTGTTTTGCACGTGGACATGTTGTTGTATTTAATATTATATTATTTAATAAATTATATATAAATATTTTACAAAGTTATTTAATTGCATTATGATTAAAAAAATTAAGTTATACTATAATTAATACTTATACTATTATTAACATACATTTAATAGTTATTTAAATTAGCTTATTATTATATTATTAAATAATTTATTTAGGAGTATAATTATTAAATAATAATGTAATCATTAGTTTAAGTAACACTATTGATATAATTAAACCATTTATATTATTAAATAACACTATTGATATAATTAAACCATTTATATTATTAAATATTTATGTTATGGACATATTTTATTACAATATTTATTAAATAATGGTAGTAGTTTTTAATATTATATGACTTGTTGTAAAGAATATTACCTTGCTCGATAATTAATATCATCTTAGTAATAAAAAATTGGATGGCATAAATTAAAAATAATGTTATTTAGGAAAAGTACTTTATATAAAAATATTAGATCCTTGAAATTTATGAGACAGTTACTTTCCAACAAAAAGGGAAGGACTCAGAGATTTTAAAAAACCAATATGTTTATATAAAGTAACTTTTCTAAATAAAAGTATTTTTAATTCATAATATCTAATTGTTATTATTAAGATGATATTATAATATCGAAAAGGGTGATATTCCTTACAATAAAAAGAATCAACCCCTATTTATGCTATTATTAATAACTATAATTATGTACAATATTTTATTAAATAAATAATTTTACTATTTTATTACAATTAATAATTCTTTTATAATGGATTATGATATATTTATTAACTTTACTATCATTATAAATTATTAATATGTTCTAGCGAGTGACCAAATATTTTGGGGAAAAGAAGAGAAAAGTATATGCCTCATAAATTTCATGAATCTTAATATTTTTATATAAATTAATTTTTGAAAATAACTTTTTTTTAATTTATAACGTCCAAATTTTTATTACTAAGATGATATTAATTATCGAACAAGGTAATATTCTTTGCAACATGAAGAAGTAACTCCTATTTATACTATTATTAATAATTATAATTATGTGACCTAAATTATTAAATGAATGACTTACTATTTATATTATATAATTAATAATTATTTATAATAAATTATCATATATTTACGAATTTTGTTATCATTATAAATTATTAATATATTCTAGTGAATGACCAAATAATTTGAGAAAATGAAGAGGTGCATAGTTAATGGAGGTTATGGATCATTAGTTTTATAAATAATGATATAATTATGAGATAAAAAATTGAGAGGGTAAAAAAGGAAATCAAAAGTTATGACATGAATATTCTCTTTTATAAGTAGTATAGATAAAGTACCCCTAGTCCCATGCGGATTCAAATCCTCTGCACTATCAAAAAGTAGTTAAAAGTAGTTGAGAGCCACTACTACATCACAATCAATCATTGATTTATTTAGTCGGTGATTTGCCTTTTGAGTGTATAACTTAGGAAAACAGTGAAATTCATGTGGGTATAGTGTCAAATATGGAATGAACCATAACCATAAACTACATAAATCAATGGGCACGATTAATATAGTGGTCTCTCCGTTACATTTTTTTGTCGTGGAGAGGATTCAAATCAGTTCCCTGCCCCCTTGTTTGACTGTCTCTTTTTTCTATTTTCCTCCATTTCCTAACTACAATTTGTAAATAAGAAACCATTTATCTTTTTTCTTTATTTCCAAACTACATACTACACTAATTTCCTAGCATATTTGATCCTAGATTCACCTTTTGTAAGATGGCATATAACAAGCACAAAAAGACGAATTCCATTTGAAGGCTTCAAGCATAAATCTATATATATAATTATATATTATATGTGTATGCATGTATTACCTAGAAACTTTACCCTTCTTGATCCCAAACTAGCACAAAAATTCCTCAGATGAACAAACTTGCTGGAGCAGACAGCTTCTACATTTTCCAATTCCTCCCAGTCCAAACGTTTTAGAGTAAAACATGAAGATTCTTCAAAAGAATCCAAGAAGGGTAGCTGCAAGAATTTAAAGAAATGTAGAAGGTTTAGTAGTAGGCTAATAATCATTTGGGAAAGAAACCCTAAATTCTATTCTTTAAAGAATAAAATTCTTTCATTAAAATGCCTAAAAGGTTTTGAGGAAGTTTGTTCACCAAGAGAGCATAGAAAATGACTATTTATAGTAAAATTTACTAACACACGTATCGCACACAAGGATGAAGTCCTAACACACGTATAACATGTGGGGGATAGATGTCTTGATAAGATTCATGCACCGCGCACGAGAAAGATGCCCCAATGTTGACAAATCCGTCACCACAAGTCAAATCTTTTACAACTGTCATACTTAGTTTATAGTGACGGGCTTTCCATTATTATTTTTCCTACTTCTAGAAGGGCACACATTATGCACGTTCATGTAGAAAAGACTTCGTAGAGATAATAGGGTTTTTTTGGCATATATACACCTCAAATCTATCGCCATTTGCAAATATCATCAATACACCTTTGATTAATTAACTAACTTTATTAATTTAGAATAAAATAGAACAGATATTTTATTGATTTTCAAATATCAGTAATATATTCCTACCTTCCCTCTTTTCTCTCTCTATCTACATAATGTAATTATATATTAATAAAATTAATTAACTTAATGAGGGGTACATACTGATATTTGACTCTAGAAAAAAAATTAATGTAGGAGATTTGGATGGTAAATTATTAAATATCAAGATTGGGGGTGGAGTGGGAGGGGGGGGTTATGTTGCAAATACGTTATACTTGGGGGTATATATGCAAAAATAACCTGAAAATTAAGAAGTTATGATAAATTAGAAGTCTAAGTTACACTAATGCTTTGAAGCATAAGATTTTTTTATATAGAAGAGATATATAAAATTAAGAAGTTATGATAAATTGATACTTCTTGAAACATTATCTAAAAAACAAGTAATATAGGCTAACTATTTATCTAAAGAAATAAAACTTAAAAATCTTACAATAAATTGATACTAATCCAATTGCTCGTCCGAGAACTTAGATGAAAAAGAAATAAAACTACCTACATATTAATATTATCTTTCCAAAACTTATAATAGTAAATAAAAACTTCACTCGGAAACAGTTGATATATGAAATTGTTTTAGCATATTGCATTTGAATGAGAAAGGTTTTGATACCCCAAATCCTAGAGCGTAATGAAAATTAGTTATAATTATAAAGTATGTAATATGATATGAAATTAGATAATCCACTCTGTTCATGTTAATCTACATGTTATTAAAGTTTCATAATATAGTGCATAGTTATGACCTTTCATCCGTGAATCAAGAGGGGGAATCAAACTTTCACGATAAGGTAGCTAAAAGAATGTCATATTCCATGAGCTAATCTTCCTCAAAACATAACTTTTCGATTTTTAACGTGTGTAGCTAGAAATAGTCGGAACGACACATGTGTTTAATGTTTACAGCATCATGTATTTTTAACCCTAGTGTTGAAATGCTATTTGAACGCAACTACAACCTCTCTATTTTTTAGAGTACTTTATTTTTGCAACAACTTTCAATCAAACATCTATATTGAGTTTTAGATGTGGCTGAGAAAACATATGACTCCAACTACATCTATCCAAACACATCCATAAAGGTTCATGGATATGAAGCAAACCTAACTCGTAAATCGTGAAGTCTTTTTAAGGTGTACTTGGAAAGAGGCTGTTGGAACAACAAATACAGTTGCAATATGTGGTTCCAACTCCTATTGTTGCAATACTCTTCAATGTGCAGGAACACCCTTATTTTTAGCTTATTTTGGTGTTGCAACAACCTCTATCTAAACATCTATATTAAACTTTAGATGCAATTGAAACAACATAGTACAATGTAGTTGGAAGTTGGAACAACATGGTGTCCAACTACATCTATCCAAACATGCTCTTAGTTATGTTGTTAGAAACCATTTGCACCACTTCATACATTGCAAGTGCAAAATCTGAGAACATTTGTCTACAACACCATGTGAATGGAGTCTGCTATATATTATATAATATTGGCCGATGGCAACAACTAAACTACTTATGCTTTAAGCATATTAATACATCCTACTTTTTATATCTAAAATAAATTGTTAGTTTCTATTTGGTAGACATGATTTTAGTAGTGTATTCACGATTCAAATCCAATAGTTGATCCAAAATCGGCCAGAGAGGCTTCTTGGAGCCAAAAAAAGCTTCAAAGAATCCTCAACCTCTCATTGTTTTTGTACCGATAACTTCATATTTGAGGCTCTACAAGTTTGGGATGGGACTACCCTCTAGCCACCCGAAAATCTTAATAAGCCTAACCTAGAGCCTTGTTCCTGGTCCTTCGGTGCTCATTTAATCCCATCTACAAAGCCTTGAAGTCTATTTGTAGTCGAAAATGTAAAGTTTGAATGACCAAGATAACTACCCTTTTGAAGTCTTCTTCTAATAGAAAATCATTGATCTTACATGGAAAAAAAGACAGATTTTTTTCTAACTGTCAACTTAAAACTTCATTCGGAAGGTCTGTGACAAAACTTTAGACCATGGAAAACAGAAGTAAAGGGTTAAAAATTCATATTATGATACTAAGATGGAAGATCTGGAAAGTTGCAGACAAAACAAATGTGCTTAGCAAACTTTTAAATACATAGAGATTTAGGACCATTTTTTGCAAAAGATTCATATATAATGACACGATCTCATGAATTAAAAAACTGATGTCTTGAAATATTCTCATGTGAGATAAATATCTAATTGTTAAAAAGGAAAAGTTTTACGACATTTTAAACTTTGTATTCTACTAAGAAAGTGTTGCACTTTCTAAAATGTGACAGCCTGATAATTTCAACTAATTTAACCTTATTCTCCTTTCTCGTTCATGAAACTAGTAATAAGAATGCTAGCCAATTTCCTACTAAGTCCACATAAAATTAACTAGGTGGACAACGAACTAAGACATCTACAGAAAAAAGACAAAAACACATTTGATATTAAACATTGTTACCTTTGTGGGAAAGTTGGGCACTAGGTCATCGTCATGGCGACAGAATTCCTTCTCAATCGAGTTAGTCACTAACGTCGCACCAACCTATCATCAAGCCCATTGCTGGAGGGGGGAGGGGGTAGAGAGAGATAATAGCTGAAAAGAGAAGATATGAAGGTCATTAAGGATGTGAGATTGTGGAAGAGTGGCGGGAGAAAGGGGACTTATTGTGAAGTGAAGGGAGGGGGTTTGACTAATTTTTGGGCTTTTTAGTTATATACCCCTCAAATATGTCTATTTAGATTTACCCTCAAAACTGCATATTTGCTAATTTGTACCTTCATTGTACCACATAGGAGTTATGATTATTGTCAATAATTTGGATTATACTTTTAAATTGAAGTATGTTTCTAATCTATTATAAAGTCTATTAAGCAATTCCATGGATGTTCAATACACACTCTTTTAAAAAAACTTAGGGTTAGTTTGGTAAATCTTGTAAAACTGAGCCACTATTAATCCTGGCATAGTTTTATCTTAAATTTTTTCAATGTTGTTCTATAG